ATGCTAATCTCTAATCTGTTTACCGGAAAACCTTTCTCTGAGTTTGAGTACAAAGTTCAGATTGGGGATGCCTATATGTATTTGTATTTCTTTGCTACGGGAAATATTTGTTGCTCCATTATCTATTTTGTGGGCTCTGATGTTTTAGATTCAGCCTTTAAATAGCACATCCATTGATATCTCACCCTTTAACCTTAATTTTCTTTACCTGCATACGAAGTTAGCCGTGATAATACCATTACCGCAACTTTGTACGCTTTCCGGCGCAGTGAGCGCTGCCGATGAGATCCGTCGTAGACCACCGGTCCAAACAATGCACTTAGGTTTTGCTTGCCTTTGATCTTAACTACTATAGTTAATTTTACTTTTGATGCTGCTGTAGATGTTATTGTGCGCGTACCTGAACCAGCAGGACTAGAGAGTAGATTGTTTGTTTTGATATTTTGTGTCTTTTTGTAGCATGTTAATAAAGATTCTAATAACATTCAACTTTTACTTGTTCTTAGCTATATCAATGTCTTTGTTTCATGTATGCTCTCTATGATGCTTCTCATAAGTACACCACTTTATTACTTAAATAAGTTAACGGCACCCATGTTTGCCTCATAGTCAATCAGCTGTCGAAACCCCAGTTACTACGCCGTTGTGTTTTATAATTTTTTTTAACATATGAGGACGTTTCAGTAAAGCATTGTCAGAGAATCAGGCCATGTTTACGTTGCTATTTCATGTAACGCTTTCTACAGTCTTTCCTATTCTCTTCACTGATTTCGCCCATACTATGATCAGTCGTGACTTTTGCCCAAAGTCAATTTGTAATACCTTACCCTGATTTCACGCAACGCAGTTTGGCTGATATTTCTTAAAGGCTTGGGCTTTTGTGATTTTTTGTTCCTGCATTCCACACTCTTAAACAATGTTACTGCCTTTCCAAGTCGACTTCTTTTATTCTGGCTTTCATCCAACGTCCTAACGATACCAATTACACCATCTACCTTGTAGGCGAGTGTGAATTTCGTCTGCTATCCCTTTGTGATTGGTATAACTGCTGACAAGCAGCATCTTTTATGTAATCTTCATTGTAACCTCTAAGACACCTGTACCGTGACCTCGCCGCCACCACCCTGATACCTGATGTGGTGATCGTCTTGCGTAGATTTTGGCTTCTCTAAATTATGACTAGACCCAATCGCTTGGGTGCGAATTGGCAATGTGTGCATTGGCTCCAAAGGAGTGGTTGCTTTATTCAAATTTGACGAATTTACATTTAAAATTCGCCTGAAAATGTTTGAGCCCAGAGCCTAGAGGGCAGCAGACCATGCTATTTCTTCTCCATTGTTGGATCTTAATTCTCCAACTTTTCATGGTATTGATGCTGCAACTGGTTGGGTGCATTCGACACATAGCCTTGCGTACATGCTTCTATCCCCTCTTTTGAGCTTATTTGATGCCGTATTTGGACCTCCTAGCGTGACATAAGAGGCAAGGTATTGTTGGTATGTTTGGTCGCTGGTAGAAGTTACTATTAATCTTCCTCCTCTTCTTTCATCACTTCATGTATTTAAAACTTTGTTGGCTTCATTGAAGGTTTTTTGTAGGTGCTAATTCTTCTTTTCTATGCGAGGCAGGTGACAAGAATCAGCCACCAAAACTTGGACTACTGGCGTAACTAATTGCATGTAGATGGTCGTCTATTTCATAGCACGTGGTCCAGCAACTTCGAGCGTACACGCCGGTTTTTACGCGTATCCACGCCTTTCCACTCCTGTTGCATTTACGTGGTGTCAGATGTACTCTTTTACATTAAATGGTTAAATGAGATAGGCTCTTTAACCAATTTCAAATGCACGATAATCTGCTGCATTTCACCCATCTTTTTTGTAGAATGCCCTTGACTATTGCATTGTGCTGGCCACACACTTTAATTTGCATTGCATGACTTAGACAACACATCTGTTCTACAGTGCCAAACCGTCACCGTCTTTTATTATAAATCTTTAATTCGATACTTGTCTTTTTTAAAGCTGTCCTACAGTGCATATGTAGAAGTCATTTAGGAACGTTTTTGCTTATAAAAGCAATTTCTTCATGGGAATAAGGCCCAATACTTTTGCCTAAGTCTTCATTTGAAGGTGCCTTTCTTTGACGACGTATTCTGAAGCTCTTAATTAGCAATTCAATGCAAATTGCTCTCATGCATTTACCGAGATTTTACCGTCCATTTCTCAGCTTTTGGTGCAAGGCTTTCGCGCACCTACGAGATCGTCCACTCTGTGACGTTAAAGATGGCCCGTCCTTTGATCATCTTTGGGCCGCTTAAGGAAAGAATAACTGAGGAGCTCCTCCGTTCAGATGAATTTGCTACCTGCATACAGCGTATGTTTCCGAAATCTGGATTTTGCACTTTCTACTGCACTGTTTTGGACTCCCATTGTTCGACTTAAAGCGACCTCGTAAAAATTTTTGCCTCTTTAGTGGTAGGTGATGCATCTCCACATGTTTCCGCCACAAATTTCTTTTCCTATCTTACGGAAATTTTGCGGTACTCTACAAATGAAATCATAAATAGGCAGGCGATGTCATTATTTTTATCATTTTTGCTTGAACACTGTGTAGAGTCACTAGCGCATCGAATGTTTGCTGATTATCTACTATCATCATTACTGTCGTTATTATTATTATTATTATTATTATGTTGGCATGAGAATCCCCCAACATTTTCCCATTTTTTCAATGTTTTGATGTTTTGAATGGATTTTTTTGTATTTTAAACTGCCATCGTTGTGCCTTGAAAAGGTCCGGTTTTGATAGTACACTTGGTTGCGCGCTATGTGATTGCGTGAAAGAGTACACCTTTTTGGTTAAAATATGATGACTATCCCAACTTTTGTCAGAGTATGCATATACCTTTGATTTTGCGCCAATTACTTTTTAAGTCACATGGTCCCAATATCTTGTTATCACTCTTTTTGTCGCTATTTTCTGCCAAATCTGTTGTTTGTCTCCCCGCTATGCGTACAGTCTTTGGTCTCCTGTAGCGTTTAAAGATTGCTTTCATTGCCTGATATCATTGGAGGCAACATGTTTGCATCTTGCTGTATCCGCAAGCGTTCAGTGCATTTTATGCCATTGAATACCTCATTATCTTTTTCAATATCATCGTCAAATGCCTATAACGGGTCCTTTTTGCTCCCGTCGGATGAGGTAGTAGCACCAGTGGACTCTCCTCCATTCTTATGTGTTCTCTTGCAGATACGTCCCGGCCACCACAGGCAGGTGAAGTGGACGGGGTCCACTATCACTTCTATCCTTCCAAAGTGGCCATGCAGACAGATATATCGTCGGGAAAGTTCTTGGATGTGGTAGTACAGAGTGACCACTTCTATGCCACCTCTATGCAATCCGTCCTGGAGGTGCTTCAGAGTGGACGCATATGCATCCTTGATGTCAACATCGTGGCCATCTATCGGTTGCAGGTTGGGAATTTCATTCGATTTACCACAATCCCCAAATAATTCATGGCTGTCAATGTTTCGGAACTGTCATGCCTTTCCAACTACCGTTGTCCATCTGACGCGTTTGCCTCTTCTGCATTACCTCCCATGACTATTGATTTGTACTGATATCTCAACAGTAACATATTATTTCCATGTAGAGTGCTGGGCTTCATCCCATGGCAATTCTGCTGAAGCCGGAGACAGTGATGCAGTGCCGCGGCCTTCAGAGACGTCTCACCGTCGATCAGGCACGTCGGATGCACGAGGCCTGCACGCGAATGGAGTCTGAGTACTGGTACCTCTTCACTGGTTAGTATACCTTAACCCTTTTCAGCGATTCACTCTTCACAAGCCTAATAAGTCTGCCATCATTCATTCGCCTTGAAATGGAGTTCGATTTGTTACGAGCTATTAGGAAAGGGACAAACGTATATTAACTTTGTTCTGTGTCTTCAGCCATACTAAACTTGGAGTCGCTGGACAGCGCACTCATATCGGTGAATCGTGTCCTGCAGCAACATAAAGGTCCATGTGTTTGGCTGCCTGCCGACCAGACTCTGCATAGCATGGAAAAGCAAACTCCGACTCTTATCTGAATATCCTATTCACAATAGCTGCGCGCCCACACTCACACATCTTCTCCTCATTCCACTCTTTCTGCCCTGAATGAACAATCAATCTTACGTTATTATTACTACTATTACTATATACATATGGTATTATTTTGTATTTATATGGGCCAATTTGTTTCTTTTCTCTCTTCGAGTGATTTAAACGCTTGTGTAGGTACAGACGCATACATCCTCTGAAGATTACACAATACTTGAACAATCTACTCAATGGGAGATTGCTTTTGTCCTCTTTTGCAACGAAGCAAATGAATTTCTCAGACTTGTTGGTCCCTGCTTGTGCATATCATTCGACACCAATGACGACACTTTTTCCGCTCACTCCCTTTTCCCTATGTGCGTGAGTGTGTGCATGACCACGCGCACTCCTTTGCTACTGTGTCACACCATTTAAAGTCCTTATTTGGTTCTGCTGCTAACTTTGGATTATGTTTAGCCTGCCCCTTCCGCGAACACGCAAACACCCCTCCTCCCCTCCTTCTCCGCACACACCCACCTGTCGCCTTTCCTCTAAATCAACTTCTCCTTCCCCTATGACTTTACATTTTAAGATTAAAACTGGCTAGATTGAACAATGCTTTGCATTTTGCCTTCATTATAATGCCTTTACTGGATAGAAATTACTAGAGGTCGATGCTGGTAGTCCAGCTCCACGCAATAGTTGTAGATCACCGATTGGGTTGGGAAGACCCCTTGTTTCAATTGGTTGTTCTTTTGGGAGTGATTGTTGCTAATTGAGCAGAGCTATTTCCAATAATTGCCCTACGTGGTAGTACTTTCCATTTACTAGACCACCACCTTCAGTGTGTGTTTTCATTAATTTCCGGGCAAAACACCCAATTGAAGAACTGAGCTTTTCAACGAAGTATTTGTTTTGGAAATGCTGCTTGTCATTTCTGAGTCTGATGATGCGACTGTGTGTCTCAATTAAGCACTCAGAGTACTCTTCAGACGACAGTTTAATTGACGCACATTTTAGGGCACGCTTAATTTGCTGTCTAGTGGAGAGATAAGCATTTAAAGCGTTGGGCACAATCGTCCTCTCCTTGTTTTGCACTTGAGGTGGTGGCAGTGCTTCAAAGTGACCGTAAGTAAATCAAATGTCAGGTCTAAGTCTGAACTTTCCCACTAGTTTGCAACTAGATCACCTTAAACTCTGATTTTACTTCGATACACATGGAGGATTTCTTGAAGGTATTCATGTCAATGATTTTCATGCCAGGGACGGTTATATTTGTCCCCCTCGTTTGAGGTGCCACTTCAAGGTCGTGATTTTCTACGTGCATCACTTAAGTTACGTTTATTAAGCCTTCCACGCTTCTATAATGTTCGCTGTCAGATCGGTTTGCTTTATTGCGTCCTGGAGGTATTGGGTTGGCCACCACGATTACCAATCCAGCTTTAAACTCTTTATTGCCAAATGTGTTTTTGATAAGTAGCAAGGAATCACATTATGCTTCACCTACTAAAGAATTGCTGCAGCTACAGTCTTTGGAAATATGTACAAGAGTGGAATCAAATGTACCTGTCTTTTCAACTCCCGGTATCCAATCCCACTTGATCACTTTCACTTTTGGACGATCGGCTGGTCGTAGTGGTGACATTGGTTGCAAATGCCTGCAGTATGCCATCTGCAGTGGAGTTTTTGTCCTTGTGAAGAGAGTTTCTCAACTGATTGAATACATAGGCCAACAGTACCGCATTTGTGCTGTCTTCCCTTTGATCCCTAGCCGGCGGTGACTCGGTGATGCTAGAGTTAGGTGGGCTCATATCACTTGCCTCTGAATGGTTGCTGCAAAGGCCGCCAGGAAGTATTGGCTGCTCCTGAGTGTTGATCTGTTTGCGGGAGTTTAGTGACGTCTGATGGTGCTGTTCTGAGGGATTTTCTTTCTTCCATTTGGTTCTTCGATTTTGGAACCATATTTTCACCTACAGCAATAAGACTTTCACTCCTAAGAAGTTTTGACATTCGCGTGATGGCACGCAAAATAGATTTTTCATCCCAAAGTGTCCCTCTTACATGTGGGAAGTCCAAGCTCACGATCCATTGTCAATTAGATGAAAACTGCTTTATCTTAAATTATGAAGTTTGTCCTTGTGGTTCTAGACAGTCAAGAGGAAGGGAATCGGCAGAAAGCAGTCACTTTCGCCTACCTTGAGTGATGGTCACCGCACGAATATTGCAGCAGTTAATTCGGTACTTTTGTTTAATGGTATGCGAGGTGCTTTTTCCAGAGCCGCTTAATTTCAGTCTCGATTAATGGACGCATCCCATTGCAAAGGTTATCCACCACATACATGAGCACCGTTTCGCATAATTTCAGGTAAGAGCTGTAAAAGACGGGGTCTCTATTTGCTTTATTACCACCCTTTTATCTTTCACTTAGTGTGCACCGCGCGTATGCACGCACCCAGCCACGTAGAAACGCAAGGGCACATACTTTCAAATTAATTCACCGAAGCTCTGCCTTATACTCTAATGTGTAGTTTATTTCAACGCCATTTACTTCCGTGCTAATTGGAGCAGCCAAATTAGCGCACCGTGCTCGTGCGGCGCGCAATTAGGTGGCCTAGAGGTCGTTAAAGGAGGGGACATTAGGGAGGGGGAAGCGGCAGCGCGCACGGGCGATGGAGACGGAGAGGGCAGAGAGGAGCAGTGATAGCCTCTATTATAAATAATGAGAGCACACACACACAGCACTTAAACGGCGAGTGGTCAGAGGGTAGGTGAGGGTGAGTAAGTGGGTGAGTGGGTGGAGTAGTGTGCTCTGGCCGGCTTAGTATGTACACCCATTAAAAAGGGAGTAGCGTTTCTTTGAAACCTGATGTAATTGCGCGGAAATTAAAAGTGTGTGCCTAAGCGAGAGCGCGCACTAGTTTATGCGTGCGTGTCTGATGCGCTGCGTGGGTCTGAGCGCGCCTCCTCTCTCTAATGTATGCGTAATGAGGTGTTGGTCATTTACCCTCAACACTTCAGACCCAGACCTTGCTTGCATGCAGAAAGACTTCCGTTCCCGCGTGAGGAGCAGATCTTTATTAGCCAGGCTAGAATACCATTGGAAGTCTTTTAACTCATGCTTACTGATGGACCAGTTCCGACTCAATTTTTTGTTTTGGATCTTGATACTTCTTTTTGTCTGTTATTTATGCATTTCAATACCGATTCTGACTACCTCTTTCCCCCATTGGGTTGTCATTGTGGTTTTGAAAGGGACTATTTTTAATGTGACTTGTGAGAACTCAGAAGGTGTGGCATCCCATGACAAAATAATTTCTTTCCATCTGGCTCATTGACGCTAAATGAAGGTAAGTTCCTTCTCATAATGCGATATTGTCGGATGCAAACAATGATAAAACAATGCAACAAAATTTGGATAAGTGAAATTGTTTTACATATTGTCTTATAAGAAATGATCGGTTGAAAATTTTATGCTAAACACTCTTAAAGTAAGCATAGAATTTCAATGACCTGAGTTTCCGTTAAGTTGAGAGAAAGCGCCATATTCATTCTTTCGCACACAGAGAGGTACCGAGTGGTCTTGAATTTGCTTTCCAAGGCAACCAGTTGACCGTAGGTGAATGCTGTCCGGGCACGTCGGTGCTTGCCCGCACCACCTACCACTGCACTTCCCGAGACCGCATGAGTATCCTCACCCTCGCCAGTGCGCATTATCTGGTTCGGGTGCTTCTGCTGTTGTTGCTTCTGTAATGTTGCAGCTGTGTAGAAGTTGGGGTCAGATCTGGCCACCTGAAAGTACTCGCTCTCTTGCAGGGCTAGCAGAGAAGCCAGGTTGAGGCATGACGTCTGTTGCTGTTGTTGTTGCTGTAGCAGGCCACTGAA